CTAAGTGTGGTGGTGTACAAACAAAGTCAATGAAAAGTGGCAACTGCCGTAGTAACAGATTGATAGAAAATGTATTTCAGAACATACCTCTGTACAATCCCTGATTTTATTCCACTTCCTAGTATATCATCAACTGTAAATAATTGTTAAATTATAAAGAATTAAAGTTTTAACAGTCCTAACAGCACTTGAATATCTGAATCTCACACATATACACAGGCCACAGACAGATTCTTTTCTGATGTCTAAACGGTACTATATGAGAGCCAGTTTGGTTCAATAGTTAAGGCACAGAAAGCCACCCGAATGGTCTTCGGCCAGTCCCTCTCTTCCAGTCCTAAGAAGGAGACTTCTAACAAGCCTTGCCAAGAAAATGGCAGGGACTAGTCCAGGCAGTTGCCAGGAATCCAAAATTGACTTGAAGAGGCATACCCAAAAGATAGTATACTTTCTTTAGTGTGCAAAAGACTATTCTAAAGATGGATCCAATTTCAAGTAATTGTCTGTTTTCACACTGCATATCACCATATCTTTTCCTTTATAGTCCAGATCTCTATTATATATCTCTATTTCTATCTGTCTGTCTGTCTATCATCCATATGTATTTATCTATCTATCTATCTATCTATCTATCTATCTATCTATCTATCTATTATCTATCTATCTATCTATCTATCTATCTATCTATCTATCTATCCATCCATCCATCCATCCATCCATCCACCCACCCACCCACCCACCCACCCACCACCACCCATCCATCCATCCATCCATCCATCTATCTATCTATCTATCTATCTATCTATCTATCTATCTATCTATCTATCTATCCCATCCATCCATCCATCATCTATCAATCTATCTATCTTCTGTCTATCATCTATCTATCTATCCGCCTATCTATCTATCTATCATCTATCTATCCACCTATCTATCTATCATCTATCTATCTATCCACCCATCCACCCACCCACCCATCCATCCATCCATCCATCGATCATCTATCTATCTATCTATCTATCTATCTATCTATCTATCTATCTATCTATCTATCTATCTATCTATCATCTATCCATCCAAAATGGTTACATCCATTCAACATCTCTCTGTATCATCATTATCATCATTTTAAACCAGTTTTGAATACTAATAACTATTCTTTGTGATTTTTAACAGAAAGTAATCATCTCACGGCCTTATATAAGAAAGAAGAGACCATCAATGTTTGGGAAAATGGTTACATCCAGAGCCCTCGTTTCCCACACAATTATCCTAGGAATCTGTTGCTGACGTGGAAGCTACGTTCACCAGGAAACGCTAGAATACAGCTGGTGTTCGATCATCAGTTTGGCCTGGAGGAACCAGAGAACGATATCTGCAGGTAAGCTAATCAAATCACCAAGGAGATCCAATGTGATTCATAATGGCTCATTTGGTAGAACAAGGTAGGCAAAAATAAGTTAGTCGTGTTTCTTAGAGATGTTTTTTTTTTTTAAATTAAAAACTGCAGTCAGACCAAACTTGTTTTCTTACTGATGTAAGATTTGAGATGCTCATCCAAGGTGAAGGAAGTTGTATCAAACACTTTCTATCTATGCCTGCTCAGCATGGAATTGCAAAGTCCCCCCAAAAGCAGCTAAACAGTTTTTAAATGTAGCAGAAGGGGGAAGAGGAGAGAGATTTAATCTGCTTAATGACATTTCCCAGCCATTAATTCTGAGTAATTCTTGTCTTTTCACATATTCGTTTTTTTAAATTTTATTTGGTAGTCTTGTTTTTCTCCTGGCTATCAATTATGACATGTCTGTAGGGTTTACAGTGTTGCAAATTACTTTGCAAAGAAATAGAAGTATATCTCTTTTCATAAATGAGATTGTTAATTAAAAAGGTGGACAGAAACTGCATTATCAATATAAAATGTATTTTTGAATACACGTTAAATCTAATCAAATGTTGGCTTTGACTCTGGATCTCACCCACTTCTTTATCCTGGTATAGCCTTTTTTTTTTTTTAAATGAGATCCCAGTTTGAAACTTTATGTTTCTCGGGCCTAAGAAGGTTGTGTTCTTTTATACTATACATCAGAGGTGTCAAACTCAAGGCCTGGGGGCCGGATACAGCCCATGGGGTAATTAGATCTGGCCCGCAGGGCTGCCCTGGAAACAGCGAAGAACCGGTCCTCAGTGCTTCTGCTAGTGAAGATGGGCTCCCGAGCTCCATTTTCGGTGGCTCTTCCGAGCTCCATTTTCACTGGCAGAGGGTTGCAGGAGGTCTCAAGAGGTCCAAGCTCCAGACCTAATCCAGCATTAACAACTCCACTCGTGTGGTTAATAACTGGGTCGATCTCCAGTTGATCTCGTAATGGGTCTCCCCTCCCATCTCCACGGGACCAGATTAATAGTAATGGTTGCGGTCGAATGGAACCCTTACCTACTGGCTTTAGGAGGCTACTGTGAAATATAGGGTGCACCTTTCCTAACAGTCAGGGTAGTTTCAGCTACACCGTTACAGGATTAATTATCCGTACAATGGGGAATGGGCCCAGGAACTTTCGACCGAGGTTTGACAGGAGGCCGTGACAGTCAAAAACGGAACTCGGGAGCCCGTTTTCGCTGGCAGAGTACTAGGGCCACCCCAGGTGCCCCCAACAGGAGTGATGTTGAGTTGGCCTTGCCCACCCTGGCTCCCCAAGGTCAAACACAACCCTGATGCGGCCCTGATGCAGCCCTCGGTGAAATCAACTTTGACACCCCTGCTATACATTATCAAATATACTTTATTTCGATGAGGCAGCTGAGAAAACGAACTGTGGATAAGAAATGATATAAGGCATGAATAATGATTATTTTTATGAAGGACTAGTTCTTTGTAATGTTTATTTGAATAAAAATATGATAGGAGAACACAAAGGAACTATATTCCAAGTTTTCTGTCTGTTTAATGGCTCTTTTGCATTCAAAGTACATGGGTAAATTTTATCCCATACTATGTCAAAAGGAAAATACTGAAATTTTGTAGATTTGTTATCCAAGAACTATCCAAACACGCCTGTATCTGGCATGATGTGTTTTCAAAAGCAAATCTCTGTGTCACTGTACCACGCTTTTAAAAGTGTGCATAAGTAAGAACATCAGATTGTACTTTCTGCTGGCTCGTGATTTTAATAGTGTTCTACAACTTTGTTATACCCAATTTTAGCCACAGAAAAAAATGTTGTAAGTCCCCCACCCACCCATATTTTCTTCCTCCCTCCTCCTTTAATGCAGAGAATATTCAAAATGTCAGTCCTACGATCTGCAGTGATGCTTGACATTAACTGAGATTGGCTTTAGACAAGATTTGCAAAATTTCCTGGAAAGCTTTAAAGTAATTGAATCGAGGTATTCAGAGACAGTGAGTCCCCAAGGAGTACGAGTTTTATTAGGAAGTGGATTTCGACAGACCTATGTGGGATTTATAGTGAACACCAAACAACTGTATCTTTAGGATCAAATTAAAACCAGTTTTATGGGGAAGGGGGAGTTCTTGCTCCATATTTGCATCAAAGCTAATACTGTGGACTTCTTGAATCCATACTTAGGTTCAGGGGTGGGCTTCAGATCCTTTAGCAATGGGTTCACTGTCCCATTGCTGTGTGGGTCTGGTCATGATGGGCATGGCCTAGGCGGCTGCCTGCACCATCACATGGAAGTAATTTTTTGCCCTCCCCAGGCTCCGGAGGCTTTCCTCAATTTTCCAGGAGGGTGAAAATTGCTTTCCTGGGGTTCAGAGACCCTCTGGAGGCCGAAAACAGGCCCATTTCAGGACTTCCAGAACTTCCGAGAGGTCTGTTTTTCACCCTCCCCAGGCTCCAGAGGCTTTCCTTGAGCTTCCGGGAGGGTGAAAACAGGTCCTCGGGAGCCCGGAAACAGGCCCATTTCTGAACTTCCAGAACCTCCAGTAGGCCCGGTTTTTGCCCTCTGTGCGGCCCCTGCATTTACCTGGAATGATGAACAGGCCGTGTGGAGACTCCTGGGAGGGGAGGGGTGGGGTGGCCGTGGCCAGCCAGGAGTGACATTTGTGGTTTCACCGAACCCTGGCAATCCTGGGCTAGAGGATCGCCCGAAACCTGCCGAACCCCCAGGAGCCCATCCCTGCTTAGCTTGTGGCTGCTGGTTTCCTGAATCCAGAGACTGATAACTAACATGTTGAAAGTGTAAAAGTATCTTATGGACAGTGTCTGAAAATCCCACCATCAGCCTTTCCAGAGAACTGAGCAGACTTTCACAGTTGGGCTGTAGTCATTGCCTTTATTTTTGTAAAAGTGCCCCTGTGATTTCCAGTGCCAGCATGGAACTGACTGATGTTACAGAACAAATGATGATCATCATCATCATCATCCTCATAAAGGTGATGCTAGAAGCTTCAGGAGTCATGGTGGTACAGTGGTTAGAATGCAGCATTGCAGGCTACCTCTGCCCATTGCCAGGAGTTTGATCCTGATGAGCTCAAAATTGACTCAGCCTTCCCTCCTTCTGATGTTGGCAAAATGAGGACCCAGATTGTTGGGGGGGCAATATGCTGACCCTGTAAACTGTTTAGCAGTTTAGGTTGTAAAGGTTGTAAAGCACTGTAAAGTGGTATATAAGTCTAAGTGCATTGCTAGAAACTGATTTTGGCTTTCTAGACTCACAGAGCTCCCATTTATGTCTGAATAAAAAGATCATTAAAATTTCAAATGTTCACTGGGGGGAAAAATCCTCTAATCTGCTGCCTTGTATCTGCTGCCTTGTTTCATCATTTCTCTGCCAGACTACTAATCTATCACCTTCACTCCAGATATGATTTTGTGGAAGTGGAGGATATTTCTGAAATTAGCACTCTCATCCGAGGACGATGGTGTGGATATAAAGACTTTCCTCCCAAAATAACATCAAAGACAAACCAGCTGAAGATCACCTTCAAATCAGATGACTTCTTTGTGGCTAAACCAGGATTCAAGATTTACTATTCCCTGGTGGTGAGTAACATGATGGTGTCTGGGGAAGAAACAAAGGATTGCCATAGGGTACAAGAAATGATTGGGGAAGGAAGGAAGAGAAATAAACTTCCAAGTTAAGATAATGAATACTGCTTCCCTTTGGGGAACATGTAGTAGGGTAATTTGTGATGAAATCAGCAGAAGAGGAAAACTATTAATTAAAATTCAGTACTCTTCATTTTAATAACTGTTGTGGCCCGTCAGCAGCCTGTGCAACTAGTAGCTGATTCCGACAGTAAGGAGGCTGGTGTGGTGCTGCGCCAGCAGCCTGTGCAGCTGGCACTCGAGTCAGACAATGAGGAGGCTGGAGAAGATATGGTGCTAGAGGCGGGGATTCAGCCAGGGCTTTCAGAACCTCCAGAAGCTCCCATAAGTGAAGAGGAAGAAGAGGAGGAGCCTGTTCTCGATGCACGAGCACACAGAGCTGCCAAAAGGCAGGAGTGGCTCCTCAGGAGGAGGTCTCCTCGAGAGTAAGGCTTGGGGCTAATTGGCCACTCCCCAGCCTATTTAAGGAAGGACGATGACTGAGGCAATTTGCAGGAAACAACTTCGTTCACATTCCTTTGTGTCTTGATCTTGTTTCTCTTATTAGTTTCCTGCAAATTGCTTCTGGGCGTTCTGCCAACCACAGTAAGATTACGGTTATTATTCTTTGGATTCTTGTCGGCTGTTAATGAAGTTAATTTAACAGCCTTTGTTCGGAAAAGACTGATTTAAATTAGTAAACTAAGGTTTGTACGGACTTTGTGTGTGCTGCGTTCTTTGGGGTCCGTAGCTGGGGCAGAACAATAACATATATAGTAGTGATGGCTAACCTTTTCCGGAATGAGTCCCCAAAGTGCGTGTGCACGCCGAACCCCCAAAATGCAATGCGTGTGCGGCCCCCACACATGTGCCCCACCCCACGCATGCATGCACAGCCCCCCGCACATGCTCTACCCTGTGCTCGTGCCCCCCTGCTTGTGCGCACACCCCCTACATGCCACATGCACGAGAGAGACCCAAAGACCAGCTGGCCAGCAGGAGGCGCGCGCACATGCGCAGCAGAACTGAACTGGGATGACAGCTCATGTGCCCACAGAGAGGGCGCTGCATGCCACCTCTGGCACATGTGCCATAAGTTCGCCATCACGGATATATAGGAATACCATACATTTGGGGATAGAAGCAATCAGCTGAAGGCAGTGACAGAGATTCTCCCTCCTCCTCAAAAAATACTGTGAAAGGCGACACTCTTATTCAGGTCCAACATAATCTCAGTTGAAGTCAGAAGTGGGGAAGAAAAATGCCTTCAAGTGTTGAAGCTCATGAAGCTCAGCAAAACACACAGGTCATCAGCAGTCAAACATTTATTTAGTTATTTAGAAAATTTATATACCGCCTCTTCACTCATAGCGACTCTAGGCATCTTACAAACAATAAAAACACAATGTGGGAATAAAATAAAAATTAAAAAAACAATAAAACCCCTCCCCCAACAACAGCACAAGACTAAATGAATCATTTGATGGGCTCCCTCGCACACTGGGTTCCCGCTGGCAAAACCAAGTCTTCAGGGCCTTCTGAAAGACTATCAAAGTGGGGGGCAGTCTAATTTCTGCAGGGATAGTGTTCCAAAGGGAGGGAACCAGTGGTGGGATTCAAAAAATTTTACTGCCGGTTCTGTAGGCGTGGCTTGGTAGGCGTGGCATGGCATGGCGTGGCGTGGCATGGCATGGCATGGCGTGGCATGGCGTGGCATGGCGTGGCATGGCGTGGCATGGCGTGGCATGGCATGGCTTGGTGGGCATGGCAGCGGAAGGATGCTGTAAAATTTCCATTCCCACCCCATTCCAGGGGAAGGTTACTGCAAAATCAAATAAATAATAATAAAAATAAAATCCCCATTACCTCCTTGGGACTCGTCTGGGACTCGGGAGGCAGAGAATAGATGGGGGCGGGGCCAGTGAGAGGTGGTATTTACCAGTTCTCTGATCTACTCAAAATTTCTGCTACCGGTTCTCCAGAACTGGTCAGAACCTGCTGAAACCCACCTCTGGAACCATCATAGAGAAGGCCCTTTTTCTGGGTCCTGCCAGATGTACTTCCTTAGGGGATGGGACCTGCAACATTCCTTGTTTCCTGGCTCTATGGCTCAGGTAGATGTGACTGGAAAGAAATGGTCCCTCAGATGCAGATATGGATCAACAAATTATTATATTTTGAATATACTGTCTGTAGATCTTGAGCTCTACAGAAAGGCTCTAATGTTGGGAAAGTTGGAAGGAAAGGGAAGGGAAGGTCAGCAGCAAAGTTTGTGTACTCAGTTACAGTGACATTGTTGGAAGAAGTGAAGGGCCAAGGTAGGGACAGATCATCATAGAGAAAAATCTATCTATGTGGATTCTAAGAGTCAACACCAACCTGATGGCATATAATCAGTCAGGTGCTCACCATGATTAATGTAGGCTCTATGGGAGAGGCATGATGGTCTAGAGGTGAAGACGCTTGTCTCCCACTTGGAAGGTTGAGAGTTCAATCCTAGGCAATGGCAGATACTTCTCTATCCGGGCGCAAAGAGAAAATATCTACTGTGAACTCTGCATAGGCATTAGGAAGGGCATCCAGCCAGTAAATGCTCAGCTCCACTCAGTTGTCTCGACTCCTCCTCAAAATAAAGAATTAAAGGGTCTTAAAAAGGAAAAAAAAATGTTTTGTGGCTTCTTTTCAGAATAGAGACAAAGTGTAGGAATATCCTCAGTATCTTATTCACTGAAAACATTGTTTAAGGAAGCAACATCGTTCTGAGCCAGTGTAGAATTTTTATTTATTGATTTATTTATTAGATTTTCATGCTGCCCATTTTTGTCACATGTTTCTGGGTGGTTTACAATCTGAAAATGGGGGAAAGAGGAAATGGGGATACACCAGTTTACTTTTCCCAATCCTGTAGTATCATCCCACCATACAGATTTGTTGAGTGTGAGAAGAATGTGAGAAGTACTTTCCTATGACTGTATGTTAGAATATAAATATAATAAATAGTGATGGATACTCCACAAGGGAAAGCAGTTGATCAAGCAACCTAAAAATGAGATTCATGCTTTAGCTGTTTGCGGTTAGAAATTTATTTTAAAAATAAACATGCCAATTAGCAACTGTCTGTAGACAGACTTCTTATGAGCCAGGTAATTATATTAGTGTCACAGTAGTGACACTCTGCTTCTCATAATATAAATTTTAAGGCATGTTGAAACCTGAGAAAGTGTCTTACAGAAAAAACAGTTGCTATTCAATTTTCTGCACCTTTTTTTTCTTTTTTACTTTTGCTGCTGTTGTTAGTTGTGAAGTCGTGTCCAGTCCATCACAACCCCATGGACAACATTCCTCCAGGCCTTCCTGTCCTCTACCATCCTCTGGAGTCCATTTAAACTTATGCCTACTGCTTCGGTAACTCCATCCAGCCACCTCTTTCTTTTGCCCTCAATCTTTCCCTGCATTAGGTTCTTCTCCAGTGAGTCCTTCCTTCTCATTAGGTGGCCAAAGTATTTGAGTTTCATCTTCAGGATCTGGCCTTCTAAAGAGCAGTCAGGGTTGATCTCCTCTAGGACTGACCGCTTTGATCGTCTTGCAGTCCAAGGGACTCGCAGGAGTCTCCTCCAGCACCATAGTTCAAAGGTCTCAATTCTTTGGCGCTCAGCCTTTCTTATGGCCCAACTCTTTTTTACTTTACGGATTTCTATTACGAATGGGCAGAGAAATTCTCCTGCCTTTTTGCTGCGGTTGTCTTTCTGCTTGGTCAGAGGGTTTGCTTTAGCATTTATTCTAAAGGAGAGGAGAAATTCTGAGTTACAAGGAAGGGGAGACACCTGTGACTTTCTTGTCTTTCACTGCATCATCCTCTCTTTATCCGTCTGTGATGGCTCTGACTGTAACTGTATGTGAGAATGACCTTGGGGGAATAAGAGAAAGAACTGCAAAGTAAGCAGATAAAAGGCACCTCAGTCAGCAAGAGAAATGGGGATTTGGCAAATGTCTCATAAGAAACTCTCCCTAGTTACCTGAACTGTATAGGTGAAGGCAGTGGTGAAATCCATTTTTTTTTACTACTGGTTCTGTGGGCGTGGCTTGATGGGTGTGGCTTGGTGGGCGTGGCAGGGGAAGGATACTGCAAAATCTCCATTCCCACCCCACTCTGGGACCAGCCAGATGTGGTATTTGCCAGTTCTCCGAACTACTCAAAATTTCCACTACCGGTTCTCTGAACTGCTCAAAATTTCTGCTACCGGTTCTCCAGAACCTGTCAGAACCTGCTGAATTTCACCCCTGGGTGAAATAATTATAATTTCAATCTTCAAAGATTCTGTGAATGTAATCTTACAATAAAGACAGAGCTAATACTTCTCAGAGTGCTTCTATCTGGATTATTACATCACGTTGACGTTGTCTCCCACACTTTCATTAAGTTTCAGGGGGAAAAAAACAGGATAGTATTTTTTCTCATATAGTAATGCTAAATATGATGATTTAAGAGTGAGTTACAGAATGCCTTTAATAAATTGATGAAAAAATTCTTTGGAGAAATATAAAGGAAAATTATCTGCCCATATATTTGAGTCTATAGAGATTCTCAGTCATCCAGGTCATGGTTGTCCCAAAGGTGCTTTTTCAGGAGGCAACTGGACTTTCTTGTTTTTCCTGATGGATTTCCAGAGGAAAAATTGCAGACCACAGGAACCAGGAGCACTACTCAGGTGATCCTGAGGACATAGATAAACCTCCAGTTGTTTCAACAACCTGTTAAAAGGATGCAAATTACCAGCTGTCTGCAAGGAATATAAATCCTTCCATTCCCCACTATCCTGTCACAGCTGAAGAAGCTTCTTGGATGAGAAGCGAAATGTCTTCAAAAAGAAAAACAAGAAAGTCCAGTTGCCTTCTGAAAAAGCAACTTTGGGACGCCTGTATATTTGGTGAAAAATTTCAGAGGGCAGTTTTTT